TATACTTGTAAGTGCCTTTGAACAACTACCGTGAAAGCAACGAACTTAAAGTCGTAAAGTGGGGTAGCCAGGATTTTCCTATCTTCGCGCGTGTGTTATTGATTTTTTGGTGCAAAGATTTGCCACCTGTTGCAGGTTCTGTACTGCTCTCGTGTGCATTTGCAACGAATGCACCGTGGATGGCAGTGTACATATGGAAGTCTACGTGGGAAAGAACTAGACGAGATATTCTTTTTTGCCGCGTGAATTAGGGTGGACTTAGTGTGTCGCATTTGTTCATTCGTCTGCTAGCTGGTATGAAGCGGTTTTTCTTTTTGCGAGACCAAACTGACACTTTTTTGAGAACTGTCATCCGAGTACGGATGTTTAGAGACCTACCTGAGTTCATTGTTTTGACGTGTGACACATGTGAAGGAAAAGTAACTGGCTTTCTTGGAGAGGTTGTTTGTGCTTACCAATGGACCTTTTTCCAGTAAGGAGTGCCCCATGACGGTTTTGCCGCGTACTACAAATGGAGGGCAACCGGACTCGCCTTCTCCCGTAGGAACAGATTAGTGTCGCAACAGAACAGTGCCCCCCAAAAATGGCGAAAGGGCGGTCAAGGTCAAGGGAAAGGGTGTGCGCGTGCGCAGACGCTTACTGGAAAAAGGTCCATTTCGTAGGGTACGATTTTCGAAAGAGTACTTAGGTTGTGTCACATGAAAGCGTCTTAGTGAGATCTTGTTGAGTGCCTGTTTCCCGTCCAGGGTTGGGCAGAAATACTCAAAAATGTATTTGGAAATACAAATACTGGGATACATTAAAATAGTAGCTAAAATACTGATACTGAAATATATCTGTAAAAGTGTATCGCGATACGTATCGGAAATACATTTTAAATAGAGGCAAAAAGTATTTGGAAATACAAATACAGGAATACATTTTATGGAGGGCAGAAATACAAATACAGAAATACTGATACTGCTATACATTTTTCAAATTCGTTTGAGACGCCAAATGAGATTAAGCTTGAAGTTAGAAGTGGAAGTTTTTGATTCTGAAATTACTTTCTTGTAGGCCTGGCACTTTGCCTTGAAGGTAGTGATTTCGGACGACGAATAGTCTTCAGTGGGCTCAAAAAAACGTTCCATCAAAGACTGACCGCGGTCCCTTCCCTGACATCCTGTCTGTCTGACGAGGGATGCGAAAAGACTTCGACCTCTATATAAATTCTATACCATCCTAACTTCCATCAAAATGTCACCATGCCCCTGTCCAATAAGGACGCCCATGTCAACATTTATCACATGACGTCACGGTGGAATGAACTGGTATTCTTTGTCGGTAGGTGTGGCCTTGAACATGAAACTTTACCGCACTGTTGTATCAAAGGACAATACGTGCTTTCGTTGTAGGTTACCTCGTTGAAGATCATGCAGGCATTGTCATTTGGAATTTTCGAGAATAGTGGGCCACCTGAAGCATCCTGGAACACATGTCTTCTGTTACGGTTGATAAAACGATACGGTGGCATTTCTGTTGTGAAGGCCCTTCCTACCGAACCTCCGCCACCGACGCATGGATTGCAGTTCTCAAGTTTCGGCTTGCATACTCCAGATAGAGACCTCGTGGATTGCGACCTAATATTGCCGGCCCAGGTGCGAGCTCTCCGAGAAACAGCGCGCTCGAGACGAGTCGCAGGTGTACGAAGTCTGGGTTGGCACAGCGAGGCCACGTCTGACCTCCGCCCTGGGTTTCGGATCACCAGAGCAGCGGGTCACTTTCACGTCGGCTGATGACGTACCCTTGAGCCGTGCAATATTACGTGCGCAGCCGCAGACACATTCGATTATGTGTTGAACTTCACTGCGTGAGTCATCCTACTATTTCAAGTCAGTCACCGCCAGGCTCGTGCTGCATTGGGCTGTGAATCAGTTTTGCCGGCTGGGTGTACTGTGTACGCTAAGGCAAAAGAGACGGTTAGCAGCGGGCTTTGAATGCCAGTAAACAATGACTCAAGAAACCCCTACCTAAGGACCTGCGGCACAAGATGCTCTGCCTCCACGCCTGGCACGCCACCTGGTTCGAGTCCCCGACTACGCAACACTTCTCAGAAGAGAGAAGAGGACGCATAGAAAAATAGTTTGGAGAATCGAAAGGAATTTTCGTCAGCATGGTAACAATGCCCCAGCATCTCCTTGACCCTAATGTCCTCAGAAGTAAAAAAAAAATAAAAAATTGGATTTGCATTTTTTTTTTGGTGGAGGGGGGGGGGGGGGGGTATTTCTCAAGAAATGTAACGAAATACATTTCACCCTAATCGTATCGCGATACTAAGAAACATTCAAAATGTATTTCGATACAGGAATACAGATACTGGTGAAAAAAAGGTATCGCGATACAGAAATACTGATACAAAATGTATTTCTGAAATACTATCGCGATACATTTGTATCGCGATACTGCCCAACCCTGTTCCCGTCCCACTCTATCGTTCTTATTTCTCTGACAGTACGGACCGTGATGTGCTTTCCCGCGTGCCAGTAAAGACATGGTTAGCGAAAACGGTCATGTCTGTATCATGGGGCTAGGATTTTTTTTTTTTTTGTTTTGTTTTTTTGCGAGACCGGAGACCGTGGAGCACGTGTTCCTGGACTGTTGGGATATCCTCCTCTGGAATGTGCTCTAACGCACCCTCAAGAAAGAGCTACCGCTCACGGCTCGTGGAAAACGTTTCTTGTCTGTGGAGGGGACGCCTTTCCCACACGACCTCGTATTTTCACTGGGCCTGCATAATAGTTCAAGATGTAGGTTCGCCATGCGGGTGTAGGTGCCTTCCCAGTACGGTATAATTTCATTGAAATTGTGAACTTGATAGCGGCTGTGCGCAAGAAAATATGTCCGGGGAACTGCTGTGGTTGCCGGCCTTTGTGAAACTGTCGATGATCATTGAATTTTAACAATTCTCACCGCCTCTCAGAACCTTGCAGGCGGCGTTTTATCGTCATCTTCACCAACGTAACGTACTTTTTTCAAAGCAGTAAAGGGGAAAGTACTTACGTTACTTATTTTGAGTAACGGGTAACGTAGTTACTTTACTCGTGACTTCTTCCCAAGACTAAACAAAATTACACTTCAATTTGTTGTGATTTTTAGCTGCAAGCCACGTGAATCTTCTAGTTTTTTGCGTTTTTCTTTGTGTATTTTGTGAGTATTTATCGTGAACATAATGTTTCTTAAGATAAGGCGCTTATGCAGACCTGTGCCGTCAAGACAGTAGAACGTGTTTATGTGATAATGAAAAAGTAACGCTGCAGTAACGTATGTCCGTAACGTATTCCGTTTATTTTCTACTAACGAGTAACGTTATCTGTTACTTTTTTTTTTTCGGTAACGCCTACAACACTGCCCTGAGTGCCCGCCGACCTCCATGCGCCGCTGCGAGCATGCAACTCGTTTGTTCCGGGAAAGTTCTGCGCCATCTATGATGAAAAGGCTACAAATAAAGCGCGGGTGAATCCCATGACGGCAATATGCGCGGGTCTGATTGCGACGAAATCACATCGCGCCCAGACCGCATGGCGTCCATCCGTGCTCGGCTACGTCTTTGTCGACGATTATCGACAGCGACCATGAAAGATTGATGTCCAAAGGCAATTCTGGCACTCGTGCATCTTATGACGCCGTATTGCTGCGCGGTGATCAGAGCCGTTTTGCTTTTGTCTGCTTATTTCCGTGCCGCGGTTTCCATGGAAAGTTATACGCACCGATATCCAAATGATCTGTGTAGTAAATTAACGGACGGCATCCGGAGAAGCCAGTGAGGGGTGAGACTTGGGGATCCAGTTTATCTACAGCTGTGAGAAACTCGAAATCAACAATTACATGCTCTTAAATATATATATATATATATATATTTATTATTTTATGTATTTTATTGTGGCCGCGTTTGTTCGAGCTTGTAATTATTTATCGTTCCGAAATTACTCTATAACGTCTCCGACTTTCATGGAATCTACGTTGGAGAGGAATCTGACATCGTCATTGCGGATCAGCAATTTCTTTTTCGCGAAATGGAACCATCACGATGCAGAATCATCTAACCTCTGGTCAGGTCTCTAAGAATGAGTGACCCACATGGAGCATCTGTCTCTCTTTTTAGCACATGATCCTCAGGCTCCCATTGCGCACAAGGTGCGGCAATGGCAGCTGGTGTAAGGCAGGGACAGTAAAGTTGCCATTATGGGATCTCTGGGTGCGCTGAGTTGTGAAAAGAGAGGTTGGAAATGAACTGGGACGCTTCCTATCGTTCTGCAGTGTGGCTCTAGGTTCCATTACCTAGCAATCTGGAGGTCCCCTCCCCCCCCCCCCCCCCCTCCCGCTCCCAATGCTGCATTTCAGACACCTTTTGGCAGACACCGGGCTGTTTCAGCTAAAATTGTCGCCGACTGTACGTCCCGCAAAAATTTCTGATAAGGAACATATATACAGTATCACGGAATTCCGAAAACCTCGCTATTTCACTCTTAGGAATGGTGCTCCACGCCTGGTATACTGACCTTTTTTACCATTCCCGTCTGCGCGCTCCAATTTGTGCCACATCATAGCCGCTGACAGAGTGAGAACGGCAATGCGTGTCTTTCGGGCGCCCGGCCTCCAGCACGCACCCTATGCCTTCCGTCGTGCTTTGGATGCGCGCGCGCAATCGAGATGCACTAGCTGCCGAAGTGTTGTCGCTCCCGTTGGGAAGCGGGGCAACCGAAGCCCCTCCCTGCCTTTCTCTCCTTGTGAGTAATTTTAATGCGTGGTTTGGTGCAGGACACGTGTGACAACTCTCCAAAAGCAATTGCCTGGAGGCATCTGTCTTACACATTTAATCATCTGCTGTGTGTCGGATGTGTCCGACCTCCAAGCCTGCCGTCATATGCTCAGACTCTACAACGTTTTCCATGCGGAGCTAGGGCGGGCGCGCTCGGATCTCCGTGAGAGGACGGTTGACAGACAGGGGGACACGTCCTCACCTGTGGCTGACCAGAATGTCTGCTCCGTCCTTGAGGACACTGGCGGCGGACGTCTTCCGCTTGGACGAAGGCAGGGTGACCTTGGAGCGCGCCTCCATGGCCCACTGGGACGTCTCCTCCCAGCACTTGACGCTTTGCATTCGGTCCTTCTTCCCACGGGTCCGGCTTCGGCACCGACCGCGCTTCACAGCGGTCCGGCCCGTTTGGAGGTGCCATCGATCCGGAGCGGCGCAGATGCACCGATGGACTCTCACGTTGCTCGACGTCACCGCATGGTCGATCGTCGAAGCTCCCTCTTACGGGGCCCTCGAGAACTCCGTCGCAAACGGCCGTGTCGTCTGCTACAGAAGAGTGGGAATCGTGGGCTTCGTTGATGGGGACTCCGAGAGACTTTCTCCCAGACATTGTTACCTATACAATCGTCTGCTGAAATGCGGCCCATGGTCAAATGTTTTGTTACCGTCGTCTGCTATGTAGTTGTACCTTATTATATACTCTGCGCTCTGCTATGTTGCATGCGGACTACGTTAGCGCGTACCTCCGCTTCTCTCGTGCACGCCTTTTCTTTCTTTCTCTTTTCTTTCTTGCAGAAGGAAGTGACACTTACTCAGCGGCTTCCGGCCGACTTACAACGATTACAAAGGGCCCATCATACCGCTAAAGTGAGGTGGTACTGGTCATAAGACCTTTCCAATGACAACAGCCACGTTTCTTAAAATTTTGGACACCGTGGAAAGCGACCGGAAGCGGCTGAAGGACGTCATTTCCTTCAGTCGAAACGCATGTACGGGGAAAAGCGCTCCGACAGGTTTTTGACACTTCTCCGGCCGTCCAGTCAACTGTGACAGTCTTCAACATCTCTTCAGACAGTTTTTGTGTGACTACTCATGTGGTACTGAACCGTTATACGAGGGTGAAACACGACTCAGGCAATAGAGAGTTTTAGGGAACAGCTTTTGCACATCCGAAACGGCCACGATGGGACCTCCGGTACGAACTGGACATATGCGAGTCTTCAGTGCGCATGCGCAGTTTGTACCGGAGGGAAAATCGTATACCGTATCGCATGTGCAAAGACGCTTCCCTAAAACTCTCTAGTGTCTGCAGACTGTTATGTAACCTACGCGGTATTCACGCAATGCACTATTCGTCTAAATTTGAGATAGTGGAAAATTGCGTCCACTGTTTTGTGATCTGAGCTGAGCTCTACTCATGCCTCCAGCGAAACGGACGGCACCTAGCGGAAAAACCTGAACTGAACGAAACAGGTACTTTTGGCGACTTTCTGCTCGTCCCTTGTGGCTCCCGTGATTAGACGTTGTCGGCAGTTGGTACCATGGAACGGTTGTCACGGTGACTCAGTTTTTACTGTCGTATCAGGGAGCTGCCCACTGAACGCAACCTATAAGCTACTGCGTGAGCCAGTCATTGTGCGTTTATCAACGTTAATCGGCACCTCATCCTTCCGTCACTTCTCCAAAGAAGGTCGAGTCTCTGGAAGCTCGCTTATGCCAACTCATCGCCGCAGGTTTGAAACGTACACAGTGAATAAAAATGGGGCCACACCTTTTTGCGTCCATTGCTTGCTTGCTGAAACCCTTGCGTTGCGATGGCACATGGCGCGACACAACCTGTTTTAGGCCGCCATATTTGCCCGACGGTGGCGACGCCTATAGGTCGTACGGGTCGCGACAATGTAGCCAAAGTACAGCTGCTGTTTATTTGTGTCTGCATCTCCCTCTTGTGCACACTGCCGGCACCCCCTTGACAGAAGTCCGTGGAGCCAGGTTTCCCGCGTCACCTACAAACTGCCAGCGTGGATTGGACCCGAGGGCCGTGTCCTCGTTCGGCATGAACTCGTATTCAGACCGATTGGGCACCGGCCTAAGCCGAACTTTGACGCAGCACTTTTGCTCAATTTGCGTCTCTCGGTGGCCTCTTGTAGGTAACGTAGTAATTCCAAAACTACGGCCTTCTGTCTAGGCGATCTTGGCCTTTCCCAGGCAAACACCGCCTAAACAAAAGCGCTACGTCACCTACAAGAGGCCACCGAGAGGCGCAGATTGGGCAAGAGTGCTGCGTCAAAGTTCGACATTTTGGTGTTGACCTTTTCCCGGCCACGTGTTGTGACGTGAGGCGATCGTGCTCGAGATTGTCATCGATCTCAGATTGACACTGGCCTAGATTTGACCTTTTCCGATAACATTTCTGCGCATGATCGAGCCCTCCTCACGCAGCGGCGAAGGCGCGATCAACGCTTGGTGTCGCGACTCATGACGAGTTCGTTTCACACGCACTGCACCGTGCGAGTTCTCCACCAGAACGCGTCGTACCCTCGGAGTGCAGCACAAAGAACCGGTCCCGAAACAACTTGCTGAGTGTAAACTGATGCTCTCGCCATCTTTGTTCTAGCCAAGAGTACCGACCTCAAACCAAAAATAGCGCCCTGCTGTTTGACATGACAGGCAGGAACGCTAAACAGTGCGGTTGTTGCAGTGTTTATATAGAACTCGAGTGTTGTGGAGATATTTACAGACGACGTACGTTTGCTTCACAAGCTGACAACCAAATAAGTGCAAGAAATAACAAAAAAGTGGGCAATCTGTCAATCCTTAAAACATGTTTACACTGGAGAAAACATCATTGATACTATTCGCGCAGAAGCTTGATCAGTATTAATCGTGAACCATTGAAAAGATACGGTTTCAAACTAGTCCGTCGGAATCTCTCGCAGTATGTTTCGCGGCACCTTCAATGTCGATCCTTGGTCGCACATAGCAGCTCTTACTTCCAATTAGAGCGGAAAGATCAAGAGCTTTCTCGAACAAAATAAAATAAAATAAAAAAAACGAAGGTGCGAATTAACTGGCGTAGGTATATGTTAAACATTGTGATTTTACACGAGCCAGTGGTTAAAATCGCCATGTTTAGCTTTCTCGGCTGCTAATTGGACAGATCACAGGTTCTGCTGGGCAACCTTTCTCAACGAATGTTTCCCACTCGTGAGTCCCCAATATCGGACACATTTTGGCGATAACTTTTCACCCGTACGCCCGTGGAAGAGATCTCGCGGCCGCTGATGCGTTTCTCCCGGGCCTTTTTACTCACCGGTCGATTTTAGCGACTGTAAGGCAACAATTAACGCCTCAAGCTTCATTTATGAAATAGCAGAAAGTCACAACTCAAGCTCGCATTTGATCCCATCTCTCGCAAAACAATTTCTAGCAAAAAATTCACTTTTTGTTGTTGTTGTTGTTGTTGTTGTTTTGTGCGAATAGCAGCTTGTAGCAGATCAGTAGCAGACGAATCTCGTCGCCTGCTCTCACACCTCACCTGCCTCGCCTGAGCGATGCATGACGAGATTGCATTCGGGCGCACGCTCGATTGTCTTGGTGCAGTCAGTGCATTCACGCGTGGAGTGAGTGGACACGCGTGGGCACGAGTGCAGTGAAACAAACTTGCTATCATATGAGCCGCGGAAGGGAGGAGAGGTAGCGCAACTCTCCTTTCCGAATGCCAATCGCCCTTGGAGCTTTTGCCGCGTATATAGTGTCGTCTTTATGTGGAAAACGGTTCCTTTCCCGGGTTCGTTGCTGGCACAGAAGTCCAAACCCCGTGTTCCGATTTGGGGAAGGCTCGTAAATCTTCCCTCGGCAAACACGTCACTTTGGGATTGGATGCGTGCCGCCACGATTGAGGTCCCCACGTGGCGCTCGTTTGGGCATACCGTTCGATGGTTGGCTTTCCGCTCGTGTATTTGCTTGTCGTTATGTCGGATATGTCGCTTTCGTTATGGGCGAATATGTCGCTTTCGTTATCTCGAACACAGGCTAAATCTTGTAGGAGCTTCTTTTTTTCTTTTTTTCTTTTTTTCTTTTTTTCTTTTTTGCCTTTTTCTTTCTTTTAGCCAGCGCGCTGTGCGTCATTGACAAAAACGAAGAGATGTTTTAGTCGAGTTATTGTGGTACTGTTCATATGTTTAGTAGAGCACTTATAGTCGGTGGGCAAGAAGTCAAGAAGGAAATTAAAGCTCCTCCCACCTCTTTCCACTTTAGCAGAGCGAACGCTGAAGAGGCGGCGACCTCCTCTCCAGGTGGGAGGAGCTTCCAGTTTACTCCTAACCTGTCACCGATTATAGAAATCCCCTTTTGCAGCATCTATCGATCTTGTTTCTTTTTTTCTTTTTTTTTAGTTTATGTCTTGAGCAGAGTGTGTTGTTTTCTTGCGTATCGAAGATTATATAGTGGTTACAAGGCACCAATTAAGTTCGAGTGATAAAAAGAGCAAGATGCCGCCTCCCATCTAAATTCAACCTTTAAACAAACAAAAAAAAAACATTTCTTTTAAATTATAGTGAAGTTTTTGTAGAACCCTTAATGTTCGGGAGCCTCACTATTTCGCGAATAGTAAAATGCGCGAACTTTAGTGGGCGCGAATATTTCTATTGTATGTAGAGGCGAATTCCAGCCTGTAGAAAATGCGAAATTTAATGGTCGCGCATATGACCCCGCTGCCCCTTTCGCAAAAAATCAGGGCCGTGAAAGTAAAAGATTTTACAGTATCATTAGAAACTATGGGACGGGCTTCTGTTCTAAATTGCGTCTTTAGAGAATCGAAATGCAAAGAGCCACACGCCAACAAAGGGCAACATAAAAAACGCCCAGTGAGGAGGCAGCCGGTAGAACCATTGTCTAAATTGCTTTAGAGATCTGGTTTTCAACCATCCATGTTTCGCGGACCCCTTGTGGATCGGCAAAAATGACGGAGGACCCCGTTCCTGGTGAGGACAAGGGAGCGGTATAGGTTAATTATGATAATTATCTAATAAATTGATACACATGCAATGGGCTAGTGTCAAGTAGACTCCCCTCATTGACATACATACGAGACAACTCAACTGAAGATTGGAACGTTTCTTCTCAATCTGTAAAATACAACTTTTATTGCCCGGCTTGACTGATGAGGCAGGGCTTCGCGGACCCAAAAGGGTCCGCGGACCTCCATTTGAGAACCACTGCTCTTGAGTTAAATAACATTTTTTTTATATATATCTACCACCGATTCGGCCGCAACCCCTTGTTCTTCAACGAGGAGCAGC